GCTTCACTGAGTTACGCAAGCCCCTTCGCCACGACAAGGCAGTGATCCATGAAGGAGATATATTTATTAATTTTCCCATATTGTCATATTAAAAATTACAAGTTGGTGGCAACTTTTGGGGGGCGGTGGGGCTATCCCCAGTTTTCAGGCTTACAAAAGCCTGGCTGCCTCCTTGTTGTAGTTTTCTTTCCCACCTCCTAGGAAGCCACTGGCAGAGTGTTTCTCAATCTCAGCAACTTTAAGACGTGTAAACTTCAATTCCCAGAATTCTTCAGTCAGCATGCTGGGTGGGTAATTCTGGGAGTTGAAGTCTACACATCTTAAAGTTGCTGATACTGAGAAGCATTGCCCTAGTGAGATCAGAAGATTCTTAAGAACAGTGTGAATCGTTACAAGAAAGACTGCAGTCAGATGCCGGAACTTGGGGATGTCACAGGCCTCCATTTATTTTTACTATTTTAAAAACATATAATTCTTTCAGCCTGAAGAAATTTTCAGGATGTTACACTTCTTCAAGTGGACGTACCTTACACTCGTGCAACATTTTATTGTACCCAAATTAGAAGAGTGTCTCATTTTAGTAAATGTATATTGTGATTCTTAAGTGCTAGTCAGATTGCTTTGCTGAAGGTGTACCTGAGCCTTTGAAAGATCTCATACAAGATTTATTCTCCTGTGACAATGAATCTGAGTAGCTGTGATATTATCATGTACCTTTTTTTTAATGTCCTTTTGCAGTTTGCCAAGAGCTTGGCACAGTTCATTAACGATCAGAACATCAAAGATCTGAAAGTCTGGACAAGCCAGATGAAGAGGACCATTCAGACTGCTGAGGCTCTGAGAGTGCCTTATGAGCAGTGGAAAGTCTTAAATGAAATTGATGCGGTAGGGTGCTTTTCTGATTTTTCATGGTGATGAAATAATAGAGCTCCTGAAGTGGGGCCTGTCAGACAAGTCTTCCGAGCTTGTTTCAAATGTATTAAATTGTACTGTACCTGTTGCCTCTCTTGCCATAAAAATATGTTAATTATCATTATTATGCTTAAAGAAGAGTAAGTATCAGGTTTGTTTCAGCAACTTTAGCACATATTTGGGAAACGTATCTCTTCTTGGTACAGAATTACTTCCTTTTTTTCTGAATAAATGTCAGACAACAAAATATTTTTATTTTTGACAACTATCCCTAATTTGAAGTGATACTTTGAAGTTAATTTGCAAATTAAGGTTTGTTTTATTTTTTCATTGTGTGAAATTAGAATGTTATTTATTCCTCATTGTTCCTGCCCTGATGTCTTTTCAGCCTGACAGTAACATACTAGTTTTTCAGACTAAATTTTAAGATTTCTCATTTTAAATAATTAGTTTTTAATGATATGATTGTTTTATTTATGCTGTTTGTAGTTTGCTTAGATTTAAAATGTATTTTTATTTATTTATGTTGGCAGAAATGTGGGTTAAAATCCAGTAAATTAATTGAATTGAATTCATTAAGAATTTTGAGTTAATTGAATAAGTGTTCAAGCCCCTGACAGTAACTACTGATTTTTCTGATGATTTTTTAAAAAGTAATCTGAGAAAGCAGATTCAACCAATTGGATCATGCTGGGAGAAGCTACTGGGTTGTTCCCGTTTTTTGGAGGTGTGGGGGTAAAGCCTGGAAAAGTTACTCCTTGTAGGCTACTGCCTTGATAGGGCTGGGCATCTCCTGTTGAAGGTTTGCTTAGCTCCAACAGGAAGCTGAAGACAGAACTTTTCCAGAGGTGTTTGTTGTTAAGTGGGGTTTTGTTTTGTTTGGTATAGTTCTTATTATGTGTTTTATGTTTTAATTTTATTGTAAGCCACTAAGACTTTGTTTGGATTATGGCAAGGTATACATTTGATTAGATAGATAAATATTTCCATGGATTGAATTTCCATTTGTGCAGCTTAACTTCAGAATTCTTTTAATACTGATAATGGTGAAGGTGATGAAGATGATGATGCAGCTTAAGCAAGTCAGTTTGCATAGGTTATTTCAGTAAACATTAAAACATAGGGTATATTTGAAGCTGAAGGGAAATGGTTTCCAATGAGTTCATGACAAAGATGGCATTTCAGTTCAGAATCTCTATGAGCACACCTCAGTTTTCTTGCCATTGCGCTTCATGTGCTCTCTTATTTTCTTTGTTTTCCTAGGGAGTCTGTGAAGAAATGACATATGAAGAAATTCAGGAAAATTATCCATTAGAATTTGCTTTGAGAGACCAGGACAAATACAGATACAGATATCCTAAGGGGGAGGTTTGTTAAATTTTACTTCTTGCAAGCTTGAAGACACAAAAATCTCTTTTGTAATAGTGTTTCAAAAGAAAGATGTTTTGGAATAAAGGGAGGTTATTGCCTCTTTCTCACGAGGAAGCTTTTCTACAAGTTCTTTGTATTATTGCCAGAATAGAAACCAATTTCTCATTTGTGTAGGAAATGTTAATTAACAGCAACAGTGATCTTTTGTTTGTAACCTAAAAAGCTATCCTATTTACTGTTCAAATTCTAAGCAGTGCTGAATGGCTTCTTAACCAGTTTTTGAAAAGGAGGGAAATAAATCAGACTTTTGGTTCAATGGTTTTGATTGGTAATGCTGGCCATCCTGCAGCAGCACACCAAAGGCCCTGTGATGAAACATGCATCAGTATTTTTATATGCTTTCCTCTCTTAGTAGAGCAACAAATTCTAAAACCACACATTTGAGACTCAGTTAATTGCTTGTCAGCAGCCCTTTTATAGGCTGCCACTAAAAGTCAAGCGTTAATAAAAAGCACTGATAAAAGCAGCTGCTACAGTATTTGTTAAAAGTGCAACACGCCTCAACCCCATGTACCATGAGTTGGCTGAGTGATCATAATGCTCAGAACAGTGCAGAAATACAGATGGCATACAGGAAGTCATGTTATAATGGCTATTAAGTAAGATGGAAAATTTTCCAGAGCTGTTTGCTGATCACAGAAAGAATGTGTGTCTTTCAGTCAACAGCTGTACATCTTGCTCAATAACTAGCATTGGGTTAACTTGCAAAATGTATCTTTTGGTAAAACATCATTGTGGCTGTTGACCTGCACTGATCTACTTACAGCAGCTTTCCCAAACTTCTGCTGTTCCATCTTTGTGAGTACAAAAGATACAGCTTCTTAAAAGTTCATTTCTGTAGCAGTATTCCAGTTCTTTAAAACTGTCAGCAAGAAAGAATGTTTCATTATTCTTAATGAAAACAAGGAAAATACTAGCTGTATCAATTACCCAGCTATTTACTAAGTTTCTTACAAAGGAAAAAAAAACATTAGAGTACAAACATTGAAATAGACCAAGTAAAGAGTGACAGAATCAACCTGTAATCTTCTGCAACTCAAAGTCTGTGATATGGATACCATCAAACAGAGAAAACATACACAGATTGCTTGGAAGGGAATGGATGCAGAGAGGAAATCATCTAATATAAGACAATATTTTCTTGGTAGTTGCCATTAATCTACCACTTGGATTTTAAGCACAAGACAATGATTAAAGGTTACAAAAAAGAAATATCTCTGTAGGATTGGATTCAGACAGAGATGAATAGAAATTTACTCATGCATCAGGACTTTTCTTGTTTGTCCCATATATGTACCTTATCCCTGCCTGCATATCTACAAATAGATGTTCTGTTAGAACAGAATGGTACAGAGAGCTGCAATGACACAGAGAAATCAGGAAAAATACATTGAGATTATACTTTGTAAGCAGGACACTTTTTCTGCTTTTGCAGACTATTAATAGATCAAAACCATTAATTTGCATCCAGTTCCCAAGCCCTTGTCCTTCCAAGTGTAGGCATATATAAATTCCAGTATTGCAGATAGTTCTTTATCATGTGCTTGCTTCCATAGCGAAATTAGCAAAACAGATTGGGAAGTGTCATAAAACTACAAATAGAGCAGGTAAGGGAGTAGAAAGAAAGGAAGAAAGATATGAGAGAGAAAAATAGAGGTCAGAGAGATCATAGTCCTGTGCAATTCCATAGAACTATGCATGTTTAAGAAATAATTAGAAATATACGCTTCAGACTTCATATTTTATTTGTTTTTATTTTATTCAATTTGTATAGCCACCCATCTCAAACCAGTGACTCTGGGTAGCTATACAAATTGGATTAGCAGAAGCTTCTGTATTATGCATCAGTGCTGCCTAAAATAAAAATGCAGCTGCTTTAAGAGTTGCATTAATGAGTTGTTTCCTAAAAGCAGCTGTATCTTTTTTCAGGTTCACATGAAAGTTTTGAAAAAAGATAAGCTGCTTTAATGAGTAACAGAAGTGCTGTACTCATGTGAGATCTGAAGCACTTTTTCCTAATTATTTTCAAGAGTATACAGGCATACTGTTTAACCCGCCTTAGAGTGAATCAGCTTAATAGTAAAACTATGATCATTTATACATATTTACATAATATTACTGTTGGTTTTTTTTTGTTATTGTTTTTCCAGTCTTATGAAGATCTTGTTCAAAGGTTAGAGCCAGTAATTATGGAGCTGGAAAGGCAGGAAAATGTGCTTGTAATCTGTCATCAAGCTGTTATGCGCTGTCTGCTTGCTTACTTTTTGGATAAGCCTGCAGGTAGGTACCATACAAATTGCCATAGGGATTATTCACGTTAGTCAGTAGTAACTTCCGTTTGGATACCAGATAATTGCAGTCAAGAGGTACACATCCTAAATGGCGACACATGTGATGCTCTTTGTCCCCCAATCAGTATGGTTCATTTTTGCTTTTTTGCTGTTAAGCTTTTCTGCTCCTATGTGAACTTGCCCATACTTTTAAAAATTCATCTGGAGATATTACTGACTTGGTTCTCCAGAAAGTTGAGGTCAGGGAAGTGATATTGGGCTTTTCCTGCGTAATGTATACCTTTTCCTAGGGAAGTTTTAGGCAGGTTAAAATATTTTTATTTGTTCAGGCATTTTAATTTATCATTTCTATATTGTTTTGTCTGGCTAACTGTTAATATCTTATCTGTGTCTGCTACCCATGGTCTTTGGTCTACCCATAGCATTGCTGTGTCTGCTTTTTGGTTTTTACAAATGGAAGCTGTTCTGAAAGTTTATTTGGTGAAGTGAGATACAGACATTAACTAGTAACACACTTCATAGTCAATAGTCAAAGGATATCCCTTTCTCTACTTTGAGAAAAAGTTTCTATTACTCACTATTTTTCCCCTTTCAGAACAACTGCCTTATCTCAAGTGCCCTCTGCATACGGTCTTAAAACTAACTCCAGTGGCTTACGGTAAGCTCTTCGAAATTGAGTTATTCCGGTTAATCAACCTTATTATGAAAAACATTTCATTGGGTTACATCTATCAGAGGCAGGCTGTTCGTTCCTAGTTCTAACTGTTAGTATATCAAAACAAATCACTTGTACTTATTAAGCAAGTCCCAGTTTGGATTAAACTGTTCAGTTCATCATAAACCAAAATGGTTTAAAATGGGCATTGCTTCTACTCTTCTTGAGGGAAAGCTGGAAATTTGAATAAGTGGGTCCTGCAACATGATGGTGTGGTGTGAAATACTCTATTCAGTATTCCAGGGAGTCATGCAGAACCAAAGATTCTCAAGTCCATATTCCTCTTCCCCTGGTCTCTCTTCAAAAGTGTGGCTGCTCAAAATGCTCCATATAGCTTCCTTGGCTTGTGCTGGCTTTTCTTTAGAAATATTTTTAGTACTGCTGCAGCTACTTGGATTTCTGTAAACCTGTTCATTTCTTTGTTGTATGTATTCCATACTTTTTTCCCCCAAAAAGATGGAATCCAAAAAGCTAATTGTTGACAGTAGTGGCAAAGCCTGGGGGTGCTTCCAGAGTCTAAGAGTTGTTGCTGAAATGTAACTTTTAATATGATAGAATGGCAAATTATTAACTACAGGAGGGAATATGCTACGAAAGAGCCTCTGGGTGATGAGTTCATGGACATGCCCTTATCATTTTCTTGGAAACAATGCAGAAGTGGTTTACTGCTGCCTTCTTTTGTAGTATTTTTTTTTCAACTTTTCCAACTAGCCTGCAGTTCTGATGTAGCCTGCAGGTCTCCCATTCAGGTGCTGACCAGGCCTGACTCTGCTTGGTTTACTTATTAAGCCTAATTTAGTTTCTGCCATATTCCTTCAACCTCCAGTCTGTAATTAAAATAATTTTAAAATGCCACTTAGTCTAAATAAAAGGCGCCATTATTACCAATTGTTAAAGGGGGTGGGGAGTATGGATGTTAAAATTTGGGATTTCTGAAGAAAACAGATTTAAAACAAGACAAGACCGATGCTCCTGTAATTTAGTCGCTCTTCAAATAAAAAGAAGCCTGTAGTGACACCTAGTGTCCAAAATGCTGCATGTGTTGCAGATAAATGTATTAGGTTAAAGGCAAACTTCTGTTTTTAGAATGTCAAGATCTCCAGCTAGAGTTGGGTGCAAAATCAGTCAAGCAATCCCTGGGCAGAAGATCACTCAGTAAAACCGAAGGACACGTGCCTTTCAGCACATGGCTTAGAGCAAGACTATGTTTTCTATATCAGAACTGAGCTTGTCTTTACAGCCAAAAAGCCACTCCTGATTTCCTTTTTCCAACTCCAGCAACCTAACTTAAAGGCGTGAAAGCCTATGTACTTCTTGTTCCATTGACATTTTTAGGAAACATGTTCAACATACTTTCATAACTACAATCAAATGTTTTACAATATTTTACAGTCCAAAAAATGTCTGTTAATATGAAAGTTGCTACAAGTGTTAGCTAGAATTATTTTTTAACCAGTATTTATTTGTATCAGAATTCCATTATCCATTGAATATAGAAGGAAGCAGTTATTGTTGTGCTGTTGATATTGTTCTTTTTTAGTAAATGAAGATAATTAAGTTATGTTGACTTCCGCCTACAGGTTGCAAGGTGGAATCTATATTTCTAAATGTCGAGGCTGTGAATACACACAGGGATAAACCACAGGTAGGTCTCCTTCTACCAAATATGAATTTAAAACTTTACAAGAGACCTGGAAGAGCTATTTTAAAGTAGAAAACCTGCCAGTAAAGAAAAAATTAAGCACTTCCTGGATAAACTGCTTATCCCAGATTGCTTCTTCCCAAAGTTGATTTTTAAATGTGCTTTTTAAAAAAACAGGGTAGCAGGAGAGCATTGTAAGAAACCTGAACTTAATGTCTTCTTTGATTTCTGGAGTGGGGATTCACAACCACCCAGAGTTTTCATATTTGATAAGACAGGTTTTCTGATCAGTGGAATGTTGTAAATATGTTCACCTCAATGTACTTTGAGGATTTTTTGGAAGAATTTTGCACTAAATTTTGCATGAAGATCTTAAAAAATGTTATACAGGATTTCAGGAGAGAGTGGCTTCCATGAATGCCTGCATCCCTCAATATAGTGCAGACAAACACCCATGTAGGGTTCAGACACATCACCATTCAACGACAGATCCCATTCTTTTAATGTCAGGAAGAAAAGATTTCAGATTTCTAGGTGCACCTTACAGTGCACCATTCTTTTTCTGTAAACGTCTTGTCTTTACCCTAATTTTAACAGACTGTTTCCTTTTGTGCTGTGCTATAGCCAACCCGTCTATATTTAGTTCATTTCAAATATCACTGCAGTAGTCTAGTTTCAGATATCTGTGTGTTTGAATGTGAAATAGACTTTACATTATTTGGGAGATTTCTTTGTTGTTGTCTAGATTTTGAAAATCATATCTTGCTCATTCTAGAATAACAGCAGCAAAGATTTTTGGATGGTCTGGGAGCTTATTTTTGATATTAAAATCCTGGAGTAACCATCTGTCCACCGGCACTCTTTTTTTTTAATGCAAAAGGATGGTTATTCTCTCTTTTACACACAGATACACATCATTGTTTAGTGACTGACTTCAGTTTGTGACTGTTGGAGTCATTTGAAAAGTCTCATCTGTTTTACCCACACATCCTAAAATGAGGATGGAAGGTTCCAGTAACAGAAACTTAAACACAGTTTTGACTGAGTTTAAATTTCATACAAATGTTTATATATGCAGCATTACTTTTCTTGTTTTGATACTGAGCAGTTTGTGTGACTACTCCAGCAGCACTATTACTTACTACTCAGTGACTAGTCAGAATGGGGTTTGTTTAGTTTTGGCTTAGTTATTGTGTGAACCCAAGTACTGTAGTTTGTACACCATAGCTCGTGGTTGGATATGTGGTTGTTCATTAAACCAAAATATGGTTTAATATGATATGTGAACCCAGTCAGTGATAGACAGGACACCACAATTGTACTCTTGTCCCATTGGCTTCAGTGGGAATTAGGTATGTCAAGATGGTGCAAATCTCAGGCTAAGTTAATAACAGGAAAGTGGAAAGTTAACAGAGTAAATAAATGTACGCATAATAATGTGTTCAACATGTGCTTTCATGTGTGTTAATTCATAGCTGCTTTCTAAAAAGTTTAAGAAAAAAGAAAGGATGTGCAGAATCAGAATTTTTCTTTAAGTGCATTAATCAATACTTCAGGGAACATTGATGATCACATTGCTTTGGTTCAAATGGCTTGTTAGTTGAAAGTTAACTAGTTTCAGTTAGTTAAAATAGTTGTTTTTAAAGGAATTTTGTAAGTGAATTTTTGATAGTAGGCAATTACAAAAACAAAGAGAGTAGTTTTTATCTCTGATATAGGTTATCTTCTGCCCTTGTATTTTTCTAGGAGTCTCTTTGTCAAAATTATAACAAATACACTATCACAATATAGTGTAAATTGGAATGGATTTGCTTAACTAATTGAAGTCCTTTGGTAGGTTAGGGAACATGACAATATTACTTTTAATTGTGATGTTAATTGTCTGGTAAACGGAGTACTTTCCTCTCCTACAGTCATGGGGATCTATCTGCGCTTTTGGGAAGCACCTAGGTGTAGACCAGTACGGAGATAGCCCTGAAGAAATTATGCGGCAGCCTGTCCTGTTCAACATTGCCTGCATGAGCAGACACAGCCAGTGCTCGTGGGACCAAGGGCAAAGTGATGTGGCTGTGCAAGGGTGTGGGGAAGTGGCCGTGGAAGCAACCAGGCCCCTCTGCCAGCTTTCCGGATACGCAGGTTCTTTGGTGCTTTGAGAAGAGTCACTTTGGGAATGCCTTGTACAGCCTTCCCATTGACTATTTTTGTGTAACCGTAAATATATTTGCTTCCTCTGTAGGAATAAAACTGCTCTCCATTGTCACTGGAGCTTTATTTGTCATAGAAATGACAAAAGAAGGTTTTGGGGAATTGTCATTGCACATATGTTCCTGATAGCTGTACATTAACCTGCATTGTTTGAAATGCTAGTTAAGAAATTTTGCCAAGATTGATCACACTTTTGTCCATTCTTAGCGGCTATTTTCCCATGTTTTTGTGCCATGATTTGAGTATGCATAGCATGACACCAGACTGATCTAGATTTGAGATTTTGCTCTGTAGTATATCAGAGATTAGGAAGGCAAAAATACATGAGCATTGAAGGCTGTATTGTTCTTCATTAAGGTTTAATTTATGTGTAAAGCCTGTATAGAAGTCTCCACAACTCAAAAGTCTCTTTTAACCCATCTGCACATACATGCAGGTAAGTTTGCAATCTTACACTCACCCAGTGGATAGTAAATCCCTTGGTATAGCAAGACTTGTTTCTCAAAAAAGATGAGTAGGATTCTGCTGCATACATTGTTCCTAAACTGATGAAGTTCATAATTACAAAAAATCCACAGAGCTGTAATAATAAAGCCTGTGTGGCATTTAAACTAAGCAGAACAATTTCTAATCCCCAAAGGGAGGGAGAAACAAAGAAATAATACGCCAAAAAATTACTATACTCAGACTGTTTACTACAGGGATTTGCAACTTTGTCCAACTCTGATTTTTATTCATTATCTTATGAAATGTAAATCTGTAGCTACCCAAAGTACATTTTAGATACATAAATATCCAATTAGTATATAAAATGTTCTATTTTTGATTGTATATTTGTCTTAGTTTTACACTGTGAGCCACCCATAGTCAATTGGAGTCGGACAGCATCTAAGTCAAATTAAATAAAGTTGAATAGTTTTGTTATCTCAGTGAACTACTGTACAGAATATACAGGATAGCCTGGATGGACAAAGAGAAGATCTGTTACAAAGGCAATGATCAGATAAACGTGGCTTGAGCCCATACTGAAAAAGACATTTATGAAAATGCCTCAGATGACCCCTTCACCAATTTGCATGAAGATGAAAGAGGGAGGAGGGGAAACACATTCAGACTTGCAAGATTCTGTTGCTATAGCTGTTCTAATAAAAGTAGCTTTAGGCCCACACAATGTCTGTTTCTTAATCTGGTCTAGGGCTGACAGATACCACCTAGTTAACTTAATCAGCGTGTGTGTGGGGGGGGGTATCATTCTGAACTGACACTGATAACGCTATGTACTGATGTCAGTTACATGGTTTGGGAAGGCATTTTAGAATTGGAATGGAGCCCGTTTCTTTTGTGGATCCATAAAAAAATCTCTCTGAACCATCAGTAAGAAAAGAGCATAATCTGAAATTCTTAATATATAAGTAAATTGGTATGGAGAAGGCAGTTCTTTAGTTGAGTTGCATTATATATCAGCACCTTGAATTTAGTTTGGAAGCAGAGAACTAAACAAGACAGTAGTGCAGTGGAATTCAGCACTAGTTGAAGCTTTTGAATAGTCTTCATCTACGTATGTAAGCCATTATATCTTATATAATTCAAGTAATCCAACTTGGAAGTTATCAGAGAATAAAGTATCCCTGTCCAGAAAGGACTCTAACCTAGCAAATCAGTTGCAGGTTCCCAAGGCCATCCAAATATATTTTTTAATAATGTTAGCGAAGGTACTGTGTTTCTGCTCTTGTAGGGCAGTTGCATCTCTATCTAGGACAGGACCAAGGAGCCATCTACATGTACATAGGATTCAGATTCATTTTATTGATCCTTATCCAGTCCCTGACCAAGACAATTTTCTGGACCTTGGGTCCTTTTGACCTGGTGGGGAGAAACTTAAGGGCATGCTGTTGGGAGAGATGGGTGGCACACAAAAATAAATAAATAAATAAATGCCCGCCCGCCCTGAAGCAGGACGGAACCAGAGTGGCAGAGGCAGCATTGAGCTCTGCTTTATTGTCCTCTGTACTGTGCTCTGGGTACTGGCCTATTGGATCTTTCTTCTGGACTCATCCTGGGTTTTCTGTTAACTGGAGAGCTATTTGTTTTCTCACTGCTTACCTGGACAGGAAGGGTGTGTATGCAATCTGATGAGGTGTACAGTGGAGCTTGTCACAGAAGCTGTGTGTCATACCAACTGCTGAGAGCCTGAAGCCAGGAGCAGTCTGGGGGCTGTCGGATATTTGCTGTGAGGGCTGGGGTGATTCGTGGTTATCTGGGTGGGTGTGCCTTGGCCTGCGAGAGGGGAGCTAGGGAAGAGAGGGAGCTGGGAGTAGAAGGCAGTAACTTCAAGATTGTGATGGGTGGGGATAGGTATGGTGAGAATCTGAGGGGCTATTGGGGCTGCTACTTGAGAGCTGTCCTGTTGTCCAGACCCCAGTACTCACCCCATAAACCAGGTTACTAGGTTCCCTGGACTCCAGCTGTTACTGTTGAATGCCAAGTTGGTCTGTAATAAATCTGTTCTCACTGATGATTTAGTCATGGATGAGGTGACTGATGTGGCATATATGACCAAGATCTTGGTGGGCTTGGATGTAGGAGTTCCCTGTTGGAGATGCACTTGCCCAGGTTTTAAGTTTGGCATAGCTTCCATTTTCAGCAGGCAGAAGAGGAGTCAGGGTGATATTAGTAAAACAAGAGATGCTACAGCTGAAGTAACAGACTAATTCAAGAGTATTTGAAGGATGGCATGACTAAATGGCCCTGTGATATTGCACTGCTTGCTGCACAGGCAGGTAGCCCATAAGGTCACTGTGATTCTGTGAACAGAAGCGGCAACTAACATCAGTAGTTCTGTGCTGCAGAGTCCCCAGACTTGCATGCGGCAAGCCCTTTACCAGATAAATGACAGCAGTGCCAGGAAAGGGCTGATCCTTTAGCACGAAGTTTTACCAGTTTCATAGAAACATGTTAAAGATGGATGGAAAACACAGGGGTTCCTCCAGAAAAGGGATCTGAAGTTGCCAAGCCTCTTCACCACTCCTCTACCCCCAGTTATCTGGGCAATGTAAGTGAACAAGATTTGCAGATATTTAGGTACAACAATATGGCTGAACTTGGAATATTTTAAATTGTAACCTCTGTGTGTATGGGAGGAGGGTTGCCAGTGCTAAGCTGGGACCACAGAATTATTAATTGTGTTCTGTAAAGAAGGGTCTTCTGTAAATCCATGGTCTACGTTTATAAGAAAAACTGGTGCAAATTTTGCTTAGTAAGTGACAATCATCCATTAATTTAAGTTCAGCAGTTTACTTGTGGAAACACTAATTAGCAATCCTGCACGATAAATATTCTCCTCTGTATTTTTATTATTACACAGAATGTAGACATTGCCAGACCTCCCAAGGAAGCCCTTGTAACTGTCCCTGCTCACCAGTGAATCCTGTTTCCTGATCAGCTCTGAAACGTGGTGCTGTTTTTATCCTACTATATTAAATTTCTATCAATCATTTCAATCACTGTGGAATCAACTGCAGATATAGCTGTTTTTGTGTAGTGCATGACTTGGAGATCAAATTGCGTTAGACTAGTTATTGTTCACTTCTGCTGAAATTTGATTATTGCCTTTTACAATATAACTTAATTATTGCTGATTTTTAAATTGATGTTTTATGTCCAGTAAGGCTCAGTTCAGTACTTTGAACACTAAACTTTTTCTGGAAGAACATATGGGTTAACTGCAAACTCTAGCTCATGTTTATTAATGGACATCCCATTATTCAGAGTGTTTTACACAGAAGAGCAGAATATCATTAATAGTTACAAAACATCTAATAGTTGCAATAATACAATAGTATCAGTGATGAAGACAGCTGGATATTTTTCAGGCAATAGTGTGTTCATTCCAGTGTCATTGGCCAATGAAATTTTATCATTAGAAATTACAATTTTAATTGATTTTAATAATATAACTAACAAGTTATTTCCTGTTAAGTGGAAAGTATTTTTAAAATGTATTTTAATATAGATGTATAAAATCCCCAGATACTATAATAAGATGTTTAACACCGTATTAAAAGAGGTATTCTTCCATTCTATATTAGGTACCAACATCACTTAAATCAATTTTTTCTTCAAAATTACTGTTTTTACTCAAATGCAAATTAAATGTTGTCTAAAATGTTGCAATTCTGAAATTAGATAACAGCCCTAATTTATTTTTTTTCTGAAATGAATTTTAAATAACGTATTTACTTTTAAATTTGCTTTTCAATATAAAACATGAAAACCCTAAAAATACATTTCATCCTGACAAATTAAAGTTATGATTGGATATTATGTGAAGGACTAACTAGAAGTCAGTAATAAGCAAGCAAGCATGCATTTGCAAGCTTCATGAAGAAGACTTGGAGAGTCCATGAGAGGTAGAGAAATGACTGGTGGAAAAAGGAATAAACAACGGTGTTACTTATTTTTAACCCAAACACATTATCTAGCACAGATATTAAAACTATGCCAAGAATGAAAAATAGTTTTGTGAATTCTCAGAAGAAGACATTCTAGTGCACGCAGTGGTACTATATTGCTGTTAGTATATTGAAAATTGGGTAACAAGCATAATGGATTTCTGGCCTTGTTTTCCTACACACACAAGCAGGCATAGAGACACACACACTAATGATGAGATAACAGTTTCAATTTAGTAAGCCCGTGTCCTTCCCTTCCCTTCCCTTCCCTTCCCTTCCCTTCCCTTCCCTTCCCTTCTTTTTTTTTGCTATGCCTGTAATGGGGAAATGACAGCTTGCTCTACTTGCTCTGCTTCCACAGTTTCAAGAAGAAAGTATATAAAGAAAATCAGCAACATCAGTTTGGATTTAGAAGACAATTATCATGTTTTTTGTTACTATGTGAATGCTTCCTTAGAAACTTACATTTTAGTTTTCACTTACTAATTTTCCTTTTTGTGACATGTTGTCTTGTTTATGCTAATTTTCTAATTAACAGGATTCAATCAATAAATACTTGCCCAGACTTTTGAAATAAAATTAGACTTCCACGTAAGGTTTATTACCTGAAAATATTTGAATAATAAAGCATATGCCACTAATTTATTAGATAAAATTTTAGATTTCAGAATTAAGTATCAAATGCAGCTGCACAGTATTTTCAAAACTTCAAAACCATTTTGAAAAGAATATACCTTATACCAGGTTGGTTTTGTATATGTATATCCTGTTCCCTGAGAGGAGGCACTGTTCTTGGCAAGCAGATAAGATGTGATAAATTTTCCTTTGAGCCAACTAACCACCTTAGGAATGAAATAAAGACAAGGGGTGTCAAATGTCCAAGAATCAGTTAAAGGTTCAAATACTCATAAGAATAAAGACATGTTCTGGCAGTAATCTCAGGATGAAAGATGCTGACTCCCATTTTGGCCCATCTCCAGCTGTCCATCTTTACCCTCCAGGCTTCAAAGTCTCTCCTCTAAACCAACTGGATTGCATTGGCTTGGTTCCAGATGCTGGTCTACCTAGGAGCACTGGTAACTTGATTAAACCATTGCTCCTACTGATCCTTTCTCAGCTGTTGTCAGCCTTCCCAGGTAAACCAGACAGGAAACACAACTAAATGAGCTAATTCTACTTTATTGTAATGTTACATTAACAGAATCTTGCAAGTCTGAAAGTACAAATCTCCCACTCTCCCTATTTACCACCTGAGTAGTTAGGGCGGGTCCTTCCTAAGTTTCTTTCTCTGGCTGTTACTCTATTGCAGACCCCTTTCTCTTTTATCTGATCATTCCCTGGTGGCATCTCCACCTCCCCCCCCCCCCCCCCATCTTCCAAGGTCACCGTCACATTCCATCACATCTGTCTTGTGTTTCTGCATCTTTCAGCTCTGGCCCTTGACCTGTTGTTGCCACTGCTGCAGTGGATTTTGGGGATGCTCAGGGAAGTCTTGATCAGGATGTAGAGTTGCATGTTCCCAGGAGCAGGCGCCAGTTCTTCTACACTTGTTCTGCTGAGCCTGTTTCTGCCCCCTTCAGGCTCTCATAGCTCATCCTCATCCTTTGTGGCTTCTCATTAGGGCTTGAGATGCAAAAGCCAGATGACCATGAGATAGCAGCAAAGGCACAGTGTTTTATGCATCTCTTTGCTGCTTTCTTGTGGCTGTCCAGAATTTTGCATGCCATATCTTATCCTTTAAGGTTGAGCCCCCTGTGGGGATCATAATAACATATCTATTGTGATTTTGTGAGCCGCCCAGAGTAGGGGGAGATGGGCAGAGATAAATAAACAAACAAATATCCCAACAATATCTTCTTGACATAATGGGTCTCCGGGACCTTATGTTTAAGTCTGTCATTTGTTTCCTGACACTTATTCAGATTGAGAAGCTAGAACAGGGATGCTTAATGTTTTTGATCTCTGGATGGATTCAAAATTTTGACAGCTGTGGCTTAGGAGATAGTATTTGCCATGATGGATTTGCTAATCATAGAATGAAAAAGTTGGTGGAGCAGGAAATCTAATGGCCACTAAAGAAAGACCCATTTGGGGGCTTGAATTTGTAACCTTTCTTTATAGCACTATTCTGCTAGCCTTCCTGAATGTAGGTCTTTTAGTAAGAGGCTGTGCTGTTTAATAGTCTGATTCAGGGTTGTACCTAATGCAGGGTAATAGGAATTAAGCTACATGTGCTTTCATGTGTCCATTTGGTAAATACCAGCCAGTCTGCAGCATTTAGCATGATATAGTCAGGTGGTGGCATCTGGGAAAAAACCCTAGAGGACCTATGTGCAAGAGAACCAACATTTAGTACAAACCCTCTCTAATGAAGGAAAAACTTGAGCAGTATTATTGAGGAAACTGCCTTGTGATTTCCTAACATGGGAAGTTGGAGTACTTCATAGATTTGGCCTGAAAAAAGAGTTTTTGGTTGAAAGAGGAGAGGTAGGTAGATTTAGACTTATGACTCTCAGAAGTTGTGATTCTCTCATGCTTGTGCATGTATACTGAAAATAAAAACCATGCTGTCTATTTGGGTTTTTTGAGGAGCTAAAAACATTGTGCTGTGCATGACCCTAGACTCATGTTGGTTAATGGTAAAAAACAGTCTTTTGCCTACACTTAGTAAAGCTACTATGTGGGCGCCAGGTGCTCATTTTGAATGAAGCCCGTTATGTCATCATTTCTTGAGTTGGCAGTAAGTAACTTGAGCTTGTGAAGAAGAGCTTATTGACTGTGTCAACCCAGTGGGCAGCTGCCATTATTCAGTGGATGATCTTGGACTCTACCATTTATGAACTCTCCTTCTCAATTCTAGTGTTATGAGAAAATAAAAATAGTTGACTTCCTTTTGTTATATTATTGTAATTTTATACAGTACTGTGCAAAAGTTTTAGGCAGATGTGAAAAAATGCTGTAAAGTAAGAATGCTTTCAAAAATATATATTATAATTGTTCATGTTTATCAATTTACAAAATGCAAAGTGAGCAAACAGAAGAAAAGCCCAAATCAATATTTGGTGGGACCACCCTTTGCCTTCAAAACAGCATCAATTCTTACACTTGCACACTTTGTACACTTGC